TTAACATCTAATGATATGATTGATTATTTTTTGTTGTTGTTTGCTATTGTTTATAATAGCATTTATATGATATGATTGGTTATTTTTTTTTGTTGTTGTTATTTGCTATTGTTTGTAATACACATATATATGAATGTATAAAATTGTTTAACATTTCTCCTATGTTATTTGTTAGTTACAATGTTTGAATTTATGTAAAAGAAATATTCATTTCATTCATATTTCTTTTTCTTGAAGAGGGGAAGTGTTATGTATGCAACATATTACATGTATATAATTTATATCTGACCGGTTGGTATTTCCAATATTATCATTGTTCTATTTTTAGAACATAAACTACATGTATGTACTAGAAGGTTCTTAACTGTTGTAGAAAACTCATGCATTATATTTAGATAGAAACTTCTGGAATGATCTTTATTGTTGAAGTTGCTAGATTATGATTACTTGAGAACATAATAGACCTTTCTGGAAACTTCTTAGTTAATATATATAAGGAGACATTTTTCATTAATCTTACCTTTTAAGTCATCAGTGATCTTTAAGTCATCAGTTACCTTTTTAGTCATCAGTGATCTTTTAAGTCATCAATATATTTGGAGTATTATTCAATTTGGAAATTAAGTGATTTATTGGAGCTTGGATTATTAATTATTCTTGTGGATTTTATTGTGGGAATTTATTCTAAAGTGTTCTTGGATTTAACTTGGATTTAACTGTGCTATTCAAAAAGGATCATTCCAGGATCAGACTAGACATTTGTAATTTTCATTTTTATTTGGACTTCAGGTATTTGTAAACATAATTTGTTATTTTATTTTTCTTTAATAATTTTTCTGTAATAAATTTGTTATTGTTACAAGTTTGTTGCTGGCTTTTCTTTCTCGTTACGCCTGGCTCGTAACAATGTTGAAAATAGAAATTAATTGGAATTTGTTATTTGACTTTAAGCGTTTCAAATCGAGACACATATACAATGTAATCACTGTTGTGTCTATCTGTCAATTCATCTGTCCCTCAGGATCCATATCTTAGAATCTCTCCACCCAGTTGTCTTGAAACTTGGCACAAATGTTTATATGAATAGAAATTTGAGGATCACCAAATTTTATCAAGGTCAAATTATTTTATTATATTATAATGGTCATAACTTTGTTTTTCATTAATGTTATGGATGTGATTCATTCTTTAATTGTCATTTATTCTTTGCTAATTATTAACCAGGTTTTCAACAAAAATCGGGTTTATTGTAATGCCAAAGATGGCCGGCGGGCATCAACTTTGGTTTCCGCTCAATAACTTAAGTTTGCTTTGGCCTATTGACACCAAACTTAATATATGGGTAGCTTATATCAAGAAGCAGCTTGGGATAGCTGCCCAGGTGTCTGTGATTAAGGTCAAGGTCACTTGCTAGATAGAAATTCAGTTTCTGCTCAATAAGTTTGCTTTGGCTTATTGACACCAAACTTGTTATGTGGGTTACTAAGCTTATATCAAGAGGCAGCTTGGGATTGCTACCCAGATGTCTGTGATTAAGGTCAAGGTCACTGTTGCTAAAAATAGAAATTCAGTTTCTGCTCATTAACTTTTTGTTTGGGTCCTCCTGGGCTCCTTGCTGCTGACTTTTGTTGCTGGGTCGGGTGGGGGCTGTGTTCATTGAACGCCGCCTTTCCTTGATGATCTTGTTTATCATATTTTAAGTTTGCTAAGGCCTATTGACACCAAACTTGGTGTATTGATAGCTTATATCAAGATGCAGCTTATGATTTATACCCAGGTGTATGTTATCATGGTCACTGTTGCAAAAAATAGAAAGTCAGTTTCTGCTCAGTAACTTGAGTTTGCATAGGCCTATTGACACCAAAATTGGTGTATGGGTAGCTTATATCTAGAGGCAGTCTGGGATTGCTACCATGTCTCTGTGATCAAGGTCAAGGTCACTGTTGCTTAAAAGAAATTCAGTTTCTGCTCAATTACTTTAGTGTGCATAGGCCTATTAATATCAAACTTGGTGTATGGGTAGGGTTGGATATCGTTTTCCACCAAATGGTATTTTTTCGATACTGATACTGATACTTTAAGATAAAACCCTTCAAACCCTTTGCTGCAAGTACAAGCATTGATGAGATAAAACATGTAGTGCTACAAAATAAAAATGTTACATTACTAGACTTATATAAAATTCATTCTGTAAAGTATACCTTTCTCAATTTCCATGTTTTTTCCAAGGTCCCAAAGGGTCAAAGTATTGTATTTTAAGGCATTGAATTGTAAAATTGTCTTTTTAGCTCACCTGAGCATGCTCAGGGTGAGCTTTTAGGATCGATGATTGTCCGTCGGCCGTCCACATTTAGTTCGTTAACACACGTCGCTTTTATTCCTCAATCATCATGAAACTTTGTCAGAATATCTGTCTCAATAATATCTCTGATAAGTTCGATCATGGGTGACCTCCGATGAAAAACTAGGTCACAGGAGCTTAAAATAGAAAAAGCTTGTTAACACTCTAGTGGCTGCAGTTTTCAACCAAATGTTCTGGAAATTTGTCAGGAAGGTTGTTTTGATGATTTTTCAGGTCAAGTTCGAAGTTGGGTAATCTCCATTCAAAAACTAGGTCACAGGAGCTAAAAATAGAAAAATCTTGTTAACACTCTAGTGGCTGTAGTTTTCATCAACATATTCTGGAAATTTGTCTGTTAGGTTGTTTTGATAATATCTAAGTCAAGTTCAAAGGTGGGTCATGTCCGGTCAAAAACAAGGTCACAGGAGCTTAAATTAGAAAAAGCTTGTTAACACTCAAGTTGCTGCAGTTTTCATCCAAATATTCTGGAAATTTGTCAAAAAGGTTGTTTTGATGATTTCTAGGTCAAGTTAGAAGATGGGTCATGTTCGCTCAAAAGCTAAGTCACAGATTCTAAAAATAGAAAAAGCTTGTTAACACTCTAGTGGCTACAGTTCTCATCCAAATATTCTGGAAATTTGTCAGGAAGGTTGTTTTGATGATATCTAAGTCAAGTTCCAAGATAGGTCATGTCTGGTGAAAAACTAGGTCACAGGAGCTAAAAATAGAAAAAGCTTGTTAACACTCTAGTTGCTGCAGTTTTGATTCAAAAATTCTGGAAATTAGTCAGGAAGGTTGTTTTGATGATATCTAAGTCAAGTTCAAAGATGGGTCATGTGAGGTCAAAAACTAGGTCTCATGTCAGGTCAAAAACTAGGTCACAGGAACTAAAAATAGAAAAAGCTTGTTAACACTCTAGTGGCTGCAGTTTTGATTAAATTATTCTGGAAATTTGTCAGGAAGGTTGTTTTGATGATTTCTAGGTCAAGTTTGAAGGTGGGTCATCTCAGATCAAAAACTAGGTCACAGGAGCTAAAAATAGTAAAAGCTTGTTAACACTCTAGTGGCTGCAGTTTTGATTCAAATGTTCTGGAAATTTGTCAGGAAGGTGGTTTTGATGAATTCTATGTCAAGTTTGAAGATGGGTCATCTTAGGTCAAAAAACTAGATCACAGGAGCTAAAAATAGAAAAAGCTTGTAAACACTCTAGTGGCTGCATTTTTGAACCAAATATTCTGGAAATTTGTCAGGAAAGTTGTTTTGATGATTTCTAGGTCAATTTCGAAGATTGGTCATGTCCGTTCAAAAACTAGGTCACAGGAGCTAAAAATAGAAAAATCTCTTTAACACTCTATTGGCTGCAGTTTTGATCCAAATTACCTGGTTATTGGTCAGGAAATTTGTTATGATGATTTCTAGGTCGAGTTAAAATATGGGTCGTCTCCCGTCTTAAATTAGGTCACATTGCCCAAATATGGAAAAACCTTTTTAACACACTAGAGGTCACATGTTTGACTCAGTTGTCATCAAACTTGGCCAGGATGCTTGTCTAAGACATTGCTTGGATGCGGTTGATTGGCCAGGGGAGCAATCCAGGGTCATCATGGCCCTCTTGTTCACAAATTACATAATCCAAAATAATGTCTCCACAAAAGCTTGCTTTATTAACCAAGTTTGATATAAGATCTTATTCTTATTTCTAGATATTTTCAATTTTTAAGTTTCAATTTTTAACCTGTTTGCATAGATATGGTTACAAAAACACCAGGTCAGAGTTGTCTGTCCTACATCAATTTTAACTAAGTTTTAGCGCTTGTCATAAACATATTGGGTTATCATATATCATGGTCAAATGTAGTGTAAGCATTTTCCAACCAAATTGGTTTTGTACCATTTTATGTACTTATCTGCTGTATCTACAAATGTACATTGATAGATCCCTACTTTAAAGGGAGACACAGGCAAAATTTTCATTTCTTAGTTTTGAAATTTTCATTCATTATTCTGTAAATGTCCTCAAAATGAATACACTAAACGGTCAAAGGAACAAAACTTTTCTCCATATAAAGAATAAAATGGTGTTTTCCTAACTTGACCCGCGTGGGTCAGGTTAGAGCGCTAAAATTTCACAATAGTTGTCACTCTGTACTCTGGAAACGTTAAAAAACATGTCAAATCAATTACTTAGACTTGTTTCAATCATACAATATCCACAATATTTGTTATTGTAACTTCCAGGGTTTGTTCAAATCGCATGACTTGTTTTTAAACTATTCGGTGATTCTGTTCGCGTCAAAATTTCGTTCAACATATATAGATATATTTAAACTTCAAACCCAAAATATATAGAATTTATACAGAAATTCATGTTGGGACTTTAAGAAATGTCATTTTAGGGTGATTTGAGTACAGAAAATCATTTTTATATTTTTGCCATTATTTTGCCTGAGTATCCCTTTAACTTTTTTTATGAATAACAATAGATTTAACCACAAATATTGACATGTGCTCTTTGGTTAACAAATTTTTGTGGTGAAAGTCTTATAGTATCCGCTAATCTGATAATTAGAATTAGACATGATAGGGATCTATGCATCTACACAGTGTCACCATCAATCTGAAGTGAGACCATTTTAACAGTCTTTTATTTCCTTTTTAGAAAATAAATTGGAAAATGAGCAGGACTTAAAATCTTTACCAACTCTTCCACCAAGGGCAAGGAGAAATTCTCAAAATCAGCCTCCTGAAATGAAAATACAAGGTAACGTTTGTTGGCTCGCCGTTAGAGGCAAGTCATTGTAAGTATCTGCTATTTATAAAGGCAGGTACCAAATTGAAAAGAGAGATAGCTCTTTAGTATTGTAAGAAAGGATGAGTCATAAGCATTATATTACTCCATGATAACCTATTGCATATAAATCATCTGCTCTTAGAATCATATGATTTTACCAGAGCATATCAGTAATAAAACCATATAGATTTGATAATATCTCCTATTCAAACACTTGGTCAGAATTTGATAAAACTGTGCAGCAATGATGGCAAGGTAGTCATTTACATATAGCTAAAATGGTTACCATCTGCCAGAACAAAATTGCTACTAGAGGAATATCTGTCCATTTAGAACTTAATTATACCCAATAAAGGCCATCATGGACCAACTATTAGCTCACCTGTCACAAAGTGACAAGGTGAGCTTTTGTGATCACAATTCATCTGTGGTGTCTGTCGGTAAACTTTACTTTAACAACATATCCTCATAAACCACTTAGCCAATTTCATCCAAACTTCAGAGGAATGCTCCTTTGGTGGTCATCTTTAAAATTTGTTCAAATAATTTAATTTCATGCACAACCAAAAGAAAAAACTTAAAAACCTTCCTTAAACAAACAGAAAAGCTAGAGCTTAGATATTTGGCATGAAACATCTTCTAATGCGTTTCTACCAATTTTGTTCAAATAAATGCCCTGAGGTCGAAATTGCCCAAGCCTTTTTTTGGTCATTGATTTTCCTTATAATTATGTAAACATTATTAAGAACTGTTGTTTCCTTTAGCAATAGCAACCAGTAATATTTTTACACATGTACTATTTCAGATACAAATATGAAATTTGCGATATCAGTTTAAGATTTAGATTTTATATCTGCATTTTTTATGGTTAACAATAATACTTGGCATGGAGAGTTTTTATATTCAGGTGAGGGATTTAAATGCCATCATGGCCCTCTTGTTTCATTTAGATTGCTGTGCTCTATTAAGGTCAGTACATGAAGTACAGAAATAAAAAATCATTTATTGTCAGTTGGCCAATAACATTAAAGATAACAGGGGGAAATTATTCACAAGTTCAGACTGAAAATCATTGAATGACTGGCTTGCCAGTATTAAAATATGGTTTCTTGTTTTCAACATTTGTAAAACCTTTTAATTTTTAAAATAGTTATTATAAAAATTTCATAAATAAATAATTGATTATGTGATAAGATAGTGCATAACCTTAAATGATTTAGATACATATTAACATACCATAGTAGCATTTCAGTTGTTTTTGATGACAAGAAAGAATATTCTAGTTCTGTGTTTCTTAAAAATTTAATATTGAAAAGAAAAAAAAACAACAGAGTAATGGCTTTTTGCCGCATGCATCTCCTTTGACTTAACTTAAACAAACTCTTCCATTTAAAAGATAATGTCCTTATAATCTTCTTGATAAATAAATTAATAACAGTGTTTCAGTTCAAAAAGTGAATGTTTAAGCTGGTATGTCATAATAGTTTGAAAGTGTGAAATAATTTAGTTATTAAACATACAATGTACTGACTAAATAGTTGTTGTTTCAATTCCAGTAATGATAATTGTTGCCAGTTCCTTTACGTAACATGCTAAATATTTCAGAACCAATGAGTCCAAAAGCACAACAGATGTATAAGAAGGTAACCTTTAAAGTAACTTATTCTTTGACTGGCAGCACTGAAAGAAAAGAGACAGAAATAGAAAAGAAGATGAGACAGTTGGATTACATGAAATGGAAATTTGCAACCATTGATTTAAAATCATTTTGTGCCAACCTGCAATTTTCTTCACGAAAGCAACAATATTTGTTTCAAGTGAATGATGGCATTTTGCAGGTAGATATTGGCTCTGTAAGCGATGCTTCTCAAATTGAAAAACATATTGATTACATTGTAGACATGGTTATTGAATATTCAAAAAATTGTATTGTTAGACAAGTTTTTTTTGATAGTAAAATAAGAAGGGAAGATGTGGAAATAGCTGTTCAGGAACTTAGTGTTATGAAAGAGGGTATATACTATGCAGAGATTAACAATGAAGAATTTCATGTGATCATAATCTGTCATCAGTCTATTGCTGATCAAATTGTTGAAGGAATTAGAAAAAAGATCAGTAAACTTGAAGCAGGCAGTAAGAGACATACTGCAAGAATTAAAAAGCCCCCAGTTTTTAGAAAGAAAATGGAAAAAGAATCATTTAAAGAGCTATGGTTACAGAGGTTTCCTTCAGTTAATATAAGACAGAAATATATTGAAACAAATCATGAGCTTTTAGTGACCCTTGAAGGTCCAAAGCCAGAAATTGAGGAAGCTGTAGCTATGATTGAACAAGAATATCTTTGCAATGAAGTCAGTTTCACGCATGTCAAATATTCTTCACAGTTCAGCAATATTGTGGATGTGCTATGTGAATTTACCTGCTCCTTGCAAATTGATGAAGATATTTCAGTGGATATAAATGGAGAAAAAGAAACAATTGGGATATGTAGTACATCTTCAGATACAAATACAGATGAAGTCACAAACATGGTAAAGAAATGCATCAGAAGAAAAGAAATTAATAAGCAAGTAAATGGTCCTGATTTCACCTCTGACTTTGTTGAAGAATTAAAAGAGAAATTAGACGAGAAGCACAAACCATTCATTCATCTGACTTTTGTGAATGAAGGGTTAATAAGGGTTTACGGGTTGATAGAACACATGAACTCCTGCTTTAGCAACATAGAAAAAAAGGTACATGCAGAGAGAAAAGCGGGATCCACTGTGCATAAGTCGTCAAAAGAACAGTCACAACCAACAAGTTCATGTGTGAAGGAAATTATTAGAATTGAGAATCCTTTGGTATATGAATGTATTTGCAAGTCTGAACAATTCAGGTCAGTAGCAAAGAGAGGTGATATCCAAGTAAAGCAGCTCAACTCTAATTTGAATGGTTTTGAAATACATGTAACTGGTTTGAAAGAAGCTGTCGACAGTGTTAAATATGAGGTTAAGGAAATAGAGAAGAATATTAAAGAGTATACAATGGATTGTGAAGTAGAAGGCAACTGTGTGCCAAACTTAATAGAGCATATACACAATTTAGAAAAAAGCTCTGATATGGTTGTAAAGACAGAAAAAGTACAAATTGAACCAATATCCTATGACTCCAAGAAAATACAATGGATTTTTGCTCAAGGGAGTACTGTACAAATTGCAAAAAGCTGTTCATTACCTGGTAAAAAAGTATTGGTGAGATTTGAAGAAGAATCAATAAAAAGTAAGGATTTTTCAAAGCTTTCTTTGCTAAACTGATTGCGCATCTTTTAAGCTGATTTTGGTTTCTACGCATAACTATATGAATGAATGGCTCAATTAATTTGATGATGTATATTAATTTATGATCAGTACTTGTATATTACGAATGGCACAATAAGTACTGAATTTATTGAAGAATATTCAGAATCCTAGACCAAAATGTTAACATAATTTAAAACTTTCACATTCATCATGATTGTATAATTTTACTATCAGTATACCTTCGCCAATGTTGAAATGTGTGTCTTTGCTTGCAGAGGTTTCATTTTATTCCCTCCTTAATCTCAAGGGAGTTAAAAAGCTTTTTTGTACCAAATTTAAAGTCCAGACCTACGTTTCTGGTTCAAAAGGAAGTTGTAATTTTTACTCATTGGTATATTCTTGATTCAACTAGTATTGGTCATTAGAGTTAATTCAGTGTTAAGAACAGGCTCCAACAAACAGATCCTGAAACATTTTCCTTTTAAGCTGTTTTGGACAACATTCAAAGTTACCAATTAAACATATTTTATTGTCATAGCTGTTTGTTTGTACCATGTAACCTTGTAAAAAGACGTACCATTTTTTATGCTCCCCGAAAAATTTCGGGGGAGCATATAGTCGGCGCCTTGTCCGTCTGTCCGTCCGTCCGTCTGTCCGTCCGTTGTCTTGTCCGGAGCATAACTTGAAAACCCTTGGAGATAATTTGTTGAAACTTCATACAGTGGTAGAGGGCATCGAGGGGGAGTGCAGTGTCAAAGAACCATAACTCTATTTTGCCCGGTTTTTGAATTATCTCCCCTTATAGAAAAATCTTGTCCGGGGCATAACTCTAAAACTATAAGAGATATCAACATGAAACTTTGTAGGTGAATAGATCTCAATGGGTAGATGTGCAGTGCATAAGAACAGTAACTCTTTTCATCCTAATTTTGGAGTTATTGCCCTTTGTTAATTTTAATACTTTGAACTTTGTCCGGAACATAACTTGAAAACCCTTGGAGATAATTTGTTGAAACTTCATACAGTGGTAGAGTGCATTGAGGGGGGGTGCAGTGTCAAAGAACCATAACTCTATTTTGCCTGGTTTTTGAATTATCTCCCCTTATAGAAAAATCTTGTCCGGGGCATAACTCTAAAACTATAAGAGATATCAACATGAAACTTTGTAGGTGAATAGATCTCAATGCGTAGATGTGCAGTGCATAAGAACAATAACTCTTTTTGTCCTAATTTTGGAGTTATTGCCCTTTGTCTATTTAATACTTTGAACTTGAACTTTGTCCGGAACATAACTTGAAAACCCTTGGAGATACAGTTGACTCTCAATAAGTCAAAATCGCTTTACTCAAAATTCCGTCTTAGTCGAATAATTTCTGAGATCCCGTCAAATTTCCTTCTTTATCTTTGTATTTTAACTCCGCTTAGGTCAAATTTTGACTTACCGAGACTCCTGTTTAGTCGAAAAGAAAATGTGGTCCCGTCAATTAAAGTACAACATATTTTCATCTCAATTAGTCGAAGTGTGAAAACAGCCGACTGATCAAAGGTCGGCGACATCAAGGTGAGATGTTGTCACTCGTGATTTACACGTTTCATAGTAATTTTAATTGCCGGTCATCATGTATTATTAACACGTCGTAAAAGTGGCTTTAATCCGTTTCAGGACTTAATTGGTTTTAACAGTTAGATAACTAAATTAAAATTTAATTACATTGCTTTAAGAAAGTTGACTCGTGCCAGTCTGATGGATGTTAGTCAAAAAACAGCCTAGGTATTGATGTGTGTTATCAATGTAAATGACATTTGTATAATTAATGTTCCGTCATATTGCATACATTAATTTGTACTTCCGGTTCACGATAGTTGCTAATTTCATTTTCGTCCGATGATCAATTAAATCAAATATAATTGTGTGTTTATGTTTCACTATTAATATACATTTATTAAATTTTGAATGATATATTTTTGTTCATTTATAATTTATAGTTTTTAGTTATTTGCCGTCATTTCAATGGTCAAATATCGCAGCATTGCCGCTAACAACAATAATAACCTACTTCTTTACACATTCAATCAGGCACATGTATATGCATGTACGAATGTCAAAGTAATGGCGGTAGTTCCACATTACTCGAATTCCGTTTCTCTCGAAGTAAAATGTCCAGTCCCTTGAATTTCGAGTTACCGAGAGTCAACTGTAATTTGTTGAAACTTCATACAGTGGTAGAGGGCATCAAGGGGGAGTGCAGTGTCAAAAAACCATAACTCTATTTTGCCTGGTTTTTGAATTATCTCCCCTTATAGAAAAATCTTGTCCGGGGCATAACTCTAAAACTATAAGAGATATCAACATGAAACATTGTAGGTAGATAAATCTCATTGAGTAGAGGTGCAGTGCAAAAGAACCATAACTCTGTTAAGCCTTATTTTTGAATAATCTCCCCTTTTAGAAAAATCTTATCCAGGACATAGTTGTAAAACTATAAGAGATATCAACATGAAACTTTGTAGGTAGATAAATCTCAATGGGTAGATGTGCAGTGCACAAGAATCATAACTCTACCTTGCCTAATTCTGGAGTTATTGCCCTTTGTTTATTTTTACATTTTGAATTGTCCAGGACATAACTCGGAAATCATAAGAGATATCATCAAGAAACTTTGTAGGTTGATAGATCACATTGATTAGAAGTGCAGTGCAAAGAACTGTAACTCTGCCTTGCCTAATTTTAGAATTATTGCACTTTGAACTTTTTCCACGGACATAACTCTGAAACTACAAGAGGTGTACTTTCCTGTGTCCAAAACCTATTCGGGGAGCATCACCCGGCTCAAACCGGGCTCTTGTTTATAATTATAAATGTAACATTTGTAGAAGACTGTTCAGCATCCTTGTTATGTTAGTGCTTTTTAGTTCATTTAATCTCATCTTTTTAGCTCACCTGTCACAAAGTGACAGGGTGAGCTTTTGTGATCGCTTTTCATCCGGCGTCCGTCCAGCGTTTGTCGTCCGTAAACTTTTACTTTAAATGACATCTCCTCATGAATCACTAAGCCAATTTCATCCAAACTTCACAGGAATGTTACTTTGGTGGTCACCTTTGACAATTGTTCAAAGAATTTAATTCCATCCAGAACCCTGGTTGCCATGGCAACCAAAAGAAAAAACTTTAAATATCTTCTTCTATAAAACCCAAAGAGCTAGAGCTTAGATATTTGGCATGAAACATCTTCTAGTGAGTGTCTACCAAGTTTGTTTAAATAAAAGCCCTGGGGTTAAAATTGGCCCCGCTCCAGGGGGTCATTGATTTTCCCTATATGCATATAGTAAAAAACTTAAAAAAATCGTCTTTTAAAGAACCCAAAGGTTAGAGCTAAGATATTTAGCATGAAACATCTTCTAATGGGTGTGTACCAAGTTTGTTCAAATAAAAGCCCTGGGGTTAAAATTGGGCCCGCCCCAGGGGGGTCATTGATTTTCCCTATATGGATATAGTAAAAACTAAAAAAATCTTCTTTCAAAGAGCTAGAGCTAAGATATTTAGCATGAAACATATTCTAATGGATGTCTACCAAGTTTGTTCAAATAAAAGCCCTTGGGTCAAAATTGGACCCGCCCCGGGGGCATTGATTTTCCTTATATGTGTATAGCAAAAACTAAGAAGATCTTCTTTGAAAAAAACCAAATAGCTAAAGTTTAGATACTAAGCATGAAACATTTTCTAGTGAGTGTCTACAAAGTTTGTTCTATTAAAAGCCCTGGGGTCAAAACTGGCCCCGCCCCTTGGGTTATCCATTTCCTAATATGTGTATAACAAAAACTTAAAAACTCTTTTTTGAAAAAACTCAAATAGCTAGAGTTTAGATATTAAGCATGAAGCATCTTCTAGTGAGTGTCTACAAAATTTGTTCAAATAAAGCCCTGGGATCAAAATTGGCCCCGCCCCAAGTGACATTGATTTTCCTTATATGTGTATAGCAAAAACTTAAAAATCTTCTTTGAAAAAACGCGAATAGCTAGAGTTTAGATATTAAGCCTGAAACATTTTCTAGTAAGTGTCTACAAAGATTGTTCAAATAAAGCCCTGGGGTCAAAACTGGCCCTGCCCCAGGTGTGTCATTGTTTTTTACTATTTGTGTAAAGAAAAAACTTGACCAGCTAGACCTTAGATGTTTAGCTTGAAACATTTTCAAATGGGTGTCTACCAAATTTGTTCAAATAAAAGCCCTGGGGTTTAAACTGGCCCCGCTCCAGGGGCCTATATACAGGTGAGCGACTTCAGGGCCATCATGGCCCTCTTGTTTTCTGTGTGTTTGCAGTACATATTTTACATATTCTTGGATGTCTGAAATTGTTTTAGAAGCATTATTATATACATATATAAAATTTTACTTAAGTGTGGTTTCAATCTTTATTACAACATACAGGATCTTTAAAGGGGGTATAAATCATTGGCATTTAAATTAGTTTTGGTCATAAATAATTGTCACAGTGTGAAATAATGTGTTGCTCAAGGTTAAATTGGAAAAAAAAAGATGAAAAAGTCATCTAAACTTTTATTACATAAAGATGTCTTAGAATATAAAAATAAGTATCTCATTTTTTGAAAAACATACTGTAAAACACTTATTTTTCGCGAGAACCTTATTTCGCGAATTTGAGGCAAAATGTCCATAATAATTATTTCGCGTCAACATGAATTCGCGTCTTGCAGAAAAATGTGAAACCGGAAACCCAATATCATTCAGATATTTTGCTGTCCTGTCCGTACACTAACATTGCATCGTTTGTCGTGCAACGAATGCAAATATATCCGTATCGATTTTTCTGATAGCTTGCTAATCTTCTTGTTAAGTGAAACCGTCTGTCTAAATATATGTCAATAAAGTTTGATAATTATTTAATATGTGTTCACTGTGTTTGTCCTGTATTGTCCCTGACTATACTCCATGTCTCTAGCATTGTTAATAGTAATGCAACGTGTTAAAGTTTCACTGATTGGCCATTCAAAGGCAAGCAGACAAAATCAATTAAACGGTACAGTAATTTGCCTAACCTGTAGTAAACAATTACGTTTACCCTCCGGCTTAAACTGTAGTTTAATACATTAGGATACAATAAATAGAAATGTTTCAAACAACTCGCAGGTGCTAAAGCATTTGTACCATTTACCAAAACAGTTATTCTCAAACACTTTAATAGCTACATGATGTAACTAGAACTGGTTTCGATACTTTCCCGAAGATATATATCCATGTGTACGCAGTGTATAGACAAAATGAAATATTCGCGAGAAATATGAATTCGCGTCTAAGAAAACTCGCGAATATTAGCGAAAATAAATTTCTCGCGAATAATAAGTGTTTTACAGTAATTGGACACTGGTCCCTTTTCTTTGGCTATACATTCTAAATATAGAGGAGCCATCCTATGTACAACAATATCCTTGCATTAATCACATTATTTAGTTAAATATGATTTAACTTGTTTTAGTTACTTCTGTTAAATGTTTCAAGCAATGTTTGACAACAATTTATTCCAGCAAAACAAGGAGTGAAGATGAGTGAAAGTGATATTGTGGTATCAGTTCCAAAATGGGTAGGTGGTTCTGCAAAAGAGAAAATCAATCTTTCTGAGAGGTTTAATGAATGTCTGCAAGCTTGTTTAGACAGGTCACTTCATCACATAGATGTAATTGTTGGCAAGGTATCCTGGAAAATGCAAACATTTGTGAAGCAGCTGCTCGTGGCTGATTTGTTGAAAGAGTTGTTGCAAAAAAGAATGACTCCTTGTCTAAGTGTTTGCTTTTGTGGCAGTGATGAGAAGATATGTGATGATATTTACACAGCCTGCTGTGGATTCTTCAAAGGTGTTTTTTCTACAATGCCAGCAGGTAACAATTATTTTCAAAGTAAAAATGCATTTATAGAAACTAATATGTCTTCTTTTAGCTCGACTTTTTAAAGAATATGGAAAGATATGGAATGTACTTATCCAGAATATGAAAGCTATTGTACTTACCCAGGCGTCAGCCTCTGTGTTGGCATCAGAGTGACACTTTGGTAAAGTTTTTGTGTGCAAGTTGGTATCAAAGTTCATTTAAAGATCAAAGTGAGTGCATCCGGTAATAACACTAAGTAAAACTGGCTATATATAGGCAAAGTGCATTGACCTAGAAACTTGAAACTTCGTTTATAAATGAAATTTGGTGTGTTCTAGCTGCCATATTTATCTGAAGGTCGAAATGTTAATTTCTTTTTTTCTTAAGTTTTACATTTTGCTTTGTAAAATATATTGAATTTAGTTTTAACATGTACATTATTTATATCAAATATATACAATAGTATTGAGATTCAAGTAAAAAGTTTTCTTCTTTATGCTTTAATAAATTTTCTTTTTGCAAATGTGATAAAAGAACTTTTCTGTTTTATTTCAGATGAAAGACGTGTTACTGTTACCGTTACAAATGGTAATCTTGCTGACACAAAGGTAATAATAAGTTTGTTTGTTTGTCATTCAAAATGAGATGAATATTTCATTCCAGGGCCATCATGGCCCTCTTGTTTATTGTCTTTCCAATCATCTTTCTGTCATTCTGTCAATCCTAAGAAATCAGCCATATGGAGATTATGCATGTCATTTAAGTTTTTCTATCTCCCTGTCTTTCTGTCATTATACATGTATCTGTGACATTCAAATGAAATCTGTATCCAGCAATAACTCAATAAGTGCAAAAGCTAGGTGATACTGGGTATGTGAATAGAGGGCCATATGGAAATTATACATGGCATAATAATGTTTTCATCCGTGAAAAAGTGTGGTTTTTCTATGGTTACAGAATTTGTAAAAAACAAACAACAATGAAAAATACATGAAATAAAATTATGCAAAACTGACATCTTTTCATTACTCAAAAAGTTTTTTTTCTTTTTAAAAAAATTATTTCAATGTCCTTAAATTGCATTATTTCATCCTAGTTTTGTTTTGACTCTTAAAATTAGGCGGAGGAAAAATGCTTTATAAGTAATTTCCACATTTATATGGGTTGAGGTAGGAGCATAGTGTGTTACAGATATCTGTAACACATTTAAATAATATCAAGTTACATTGCAAAGTTTGATGTATTCAATATAGAATATCAACTTTTGCTTTTCCCTTGTAACAGTTTGTGTTTGATTATGTATAATTTAGAGTCTATGTATAGTGTCTCAGCAAGCCCTGAAGTATATGGTCCTGACAGTCTTAGTTAGTCCCAAAGATTACCTATTTAGAAATAATTTATTATACTTAAGAAATAATTATTTTTACAGGCTGACATTTTGGTGAACTCGGTTGATAGAATGGGTTCTTTAGATAGAGGAGCCATATCAAAGTCTCTTTTGAGGAAATCAGGAAAGGAAGGACACAAACTTCAAGCTGAAATTAGAAAATTCAAATGCCCTTTAGATTCACTGAAAGTATACAAAACAGGGGCGTACCTTCAAGGCTGCAAATTTATATTCCATGGTCTTTTAGAGTATTATGTAGTAAATGGCACAAGTCAAAAGGTAAATATTGTTCTGAAATAATTTTGCAAAACTTCGTAGGAAGTTCAATCCTTGATCACTCAAATAAATTAAATTTGGACTTCTTATATCCTTTCCACGACCGACCCTCTATTTAGACGGACACCCATAACGTTTTAAAATGGGCACATTCTTTCAAACCCTAAAAGTGGGGTCTGAATTAATGAAGGAAACCTGAAACGTAATAAAACATGACTTTTTGTGTTTTTTCAACAGTCTTAAAAACTGTAACGGAAATCAGCGTAAAAGAATTAAGTAAAGTCTTATAAAGCGTAATTTCTGATAAATCTTACTCATAAATACGGTTCAGACTTTCTTGCGAATAAGGGACATACCGTATTTCAACTATATGGTTGTCCATCGTTAATATTGAAAACATCGTCATTTTACGTTATGGGGATAGGTGTTTATAAGCTGTGAAATAAAAATCTCAGATAATTGTAAATGCACATTTTGACGAAAATACATTTTAGTATGTTACGGGTCATTATGCGGTATAGGTAAATATGATATCCACTATGTGTCAAACAGTAAATGAGAAGTTACCGTTTAATGACTGAAACAGAGAATTCTGTAAAATTGATTATAATCTTATTAGCAATAATCAATCATCTTGTCTTTAGAGAAATGTCACAGATAAGGTTTTGACAATTAAGACAAACATATCTTCTATAAGGTAGAAACAAGTTTTAGAAGCCTTATTATTAGTGAAATGGAGAAACGCATGGTTGAAATGAGTTAGTATTTTTAAAATGAAACTTTACAAGATAGATTGGTAGGTCATGTACATGCGCATAATACATTTTTTTTTATTCCTGGAAATTTGTTAGAAAGGTTATTTGTTAGATTTCTAGCTCAATTTAAAATATAGTTCATCGGACAGGTCAAAAACTAGGTTACATAGCCCAAAATGGGAGAATTTTGCTAAAACTATAGAGGAGGACACTGTTTAGGTCTAAATATCCTGGAAATTGGTCAGAAATGTTGTTTAGATGGTTTCTAGGTCATTTTTGATTATAGATACTCTAGGGTCACAAAGTAGGTCACACAACTAAAGTTATGGAAAAATATGGTTTACATTTTAGAGGTTATATTTTCATCCAAAATATCCTGCACATTTGTCTGAAGGGTTGTTTTTGATTTCTAGCTCAGCTTTGAGCATGGGTCATCCATGGTCAAAATCTAGTTCACACAGACCAAAATAATGGAAAATCTTTGTTATTATCCCCCACCAATGGAATTGGGATATTGTTTTGGCGTTGTCCGTCCGTCCTTTCGTACAAATGTAAAGACACTTACGGTGGCTATGGGAACAATGGGTAACAGTAAATTTCCTTTGATGCTATTCATTCAGTAAGCTCTTATGTGGCTAAATAAACAAAAGACCAAACTTTGAGGACATCCGTCCGCACTACCGAATAGGGATAGGGGGCCATCTAGCTGTAAACAGAACAAAGGAGAGCAATAGAGTTTATTCCTTAACAATAGAGTATGGGGTCATTTACCCTCTATTCAACAAAAGAAAATTACAATAGAAATGGCCCCGTATCCCAATTCGGCTAGACGTCCATCTGTCATCCATACATCCGTCCGAATTTTGTTTCCGCGCTACTTTTCTGCAACTACTGGCTGGAACATAACTTTATGGAAACCTTCAATATGAAGAGGAGATGCACATATCGTCCCCTTGTTCCGGTCAGACCCTTTTACTTGGAGTTAAAAATTGGCCCTTGAATAGTTACGCAATTTGCATATAGAGCAATAATCGTTTCTGCGCTACTTCTCTGCAACTTGGGCTTGAATTCAACAAAACTTTATGGGAACCTTCAATACAAAGAGCACATGCGCATATCGTTGCCTTGTTTTGGTCGGACCCTTTAACTCAGAGTTTTGGTCCATGATCAGTTATGCAGTATGCATATAGAGCAATAATCGTTTCCATGCTACTTCCCTGCAACTACGGGCTGGAATTTTGTCCGGAGCATAAATTGAAAACTACAAGTTGGAATTCAATACAACTTCATACAATAGTCTAGGACATTGAGAGGAAGTGCATGGCACAAGAACCTTAACTCCATCTTGACTAATTACAAAGTTATTGCCCTTTGTTACTTTTCCTTGTCCGGAGCATAACTTGAAAACTACTGGTTGGAATTCAATACAACTTCATACAGTTGTCAAGCACATTAAGAGGAAGTGCCATGCACAAGAACCATAAATCCATATTGACAAATTACAGAGTTATTGCCCTTTGATACTTTTCCTTGTCGGGAGCATAAATTAAAACATACTGGTTGGCATTCAAAACAACCTCATACAAAAGGTGAACACAATAAGAGGAAGTGCAGTGCACAAGAACTATAACTATATAACTAAATTTTAGAGTTATTGCCCTTTGTTACTTTTCCATTGCTTGTTTCTTGTCCAGAGCATAACTTGAAAACTACAAGTTGGAATTCAATACTATTTCAAACAATGGTCAAGTATAATGAAAGGAAGCACAGTGCACAGAAACCATAACTCCTTCTTGACTCATTTAAAAGTTTTTGCCCTTTGTTACCAGTGCATAACTTTTTATTCTCCAGTGCATAACTAAAATTAATGGTTTGAATTCAATGAAACTTTATACAATTGTCAAGGGCAGTGAGATTAAGTGCAGTGCACAAGAACCATAACTCTATTTGGACTAATTACAGTTATTGCCCTTTGTTACTTTTTTTGTCCAGTGCATAACTTGAAATCTAGTGGTTGGAATTAAATACAACTTCATACAATTGTCAAGCGCAATGAGAGGAAGTGCAGTGTACAATAACCATAACTTTATCTTCAGTATTTATAGAGTTATTGCCCTTTGTTCCCTTTCCTTGTCTTTCTGAACTGAATACAAAGTAATTCAACCACATTGAAAGGAAATGCAACATACAAGAACCACAACTATCTTCAATTGCCCACAACCATAACTCTGTTTCAATATTTTTACAAGGTATTTCCGAAGCAGTCTTGCGGGGGTATTAATCACATTTCGTAGGATCAAATCATTATTCAATATTATAGGCACAGGAGCAAAAAATAGAAAAGTAATGTTAACACTCCTTTGGCTGCAGTTTTGATCCAAATATCCTGAAAATTGATCAGAAAGGTTGTTTAAATGATTTCTAGGTAAAGTTCAAATTTGGGTCATCTCCAGGCAAAAACTAGGTCACAGTAGCTGAAAAAAGAAATATCTTGTTAAAATTTTAATGGCTGCAGTTTTCACCCAAATATCCTGGAAATTGGTCATTGATTTCTAGTTCAATTTTGAATATGGGTTATCACGGGTCAAAAAGTAGGCCACACAGTCTAAATATGGGAAAACCTTGTTAACGCATTTTAGGGCTACTTTTTCAGTCAAAATATCTTGGAATTTTTTCACAAACTTTGTTTTGATGATTTGTAAGACAGGTTCGAATATGGGTCATCTTGGGTCAAAACAAGGTCACACAGCCCAAATTTTGATAAACCTTGTAAACACTCTAAAGGCTACTTTTTAAGTCGAAATATCCTGAAAATTTGTCAGAAAGGTTGTTTTGATGATTTCTAGGTCATCTCGGGTCAAAACCTTGGTCACAGCCCAAATAAAATGGGATTGACCCCTCATAGTTAGGTGAGCGATATAAGGGCCATTATGGCCCTCTTGTTTTAAAGATGGCTTATTTTCTGTATGAAATCTGCTGTGGTCATAGTATTATTTTTAGCTCACCTGTCACAAAGTGACAGGGTGAGCTTTTGTGATCGCTTTTCGTCCGTCGTCTGTCCGTCCGTCCGTAAACTTTTACTTTAAACGACATCTCCTCATAAACCGCTGAGCCATTTTCATCCAAACTTCACAGGAATGTTCCTTTGGTGGTCACCTTTAAAAATTGTTCAAAAAATTTAATTCCATGCAGAACTCTGGTTGCCATGGCAACCGAAAGAAAAAACTTTAAATATCTTCTTTTAAAAAACCCTAAGAGCTAGAGCTTAGATATTTGGCATGAAACATCTTCTAATGAGTGTCTACCAAGTTTGTTCAAATAAAAGCCCTGGGGTCAAAATTGGCCCCGCCCCAGGGGGTCATTGATTTTCCCTATATGCATATAGTAAAAACTTAAAAAATCTTCTTTTAAAGAATTCAAAGAGCTTGAGCTAAGATCTTTAGCATGAAACATCCTCCAGTGGGTGTCTACAAATTTTGTTCAAATAAAAGCCCTGGGGTCAAAATTGGTCCCGCCCCAGAGTCATTGATTTTCCTTAAATGTGTATATCAAAAACTTAAAAAATCTTCTTTGAAAAATCCCAAATAGCTAGTGTTTAGATATTGAGCATGAAACATCTCCTAGTGTCTAAATGTCTACCAATTTTGTTCAAATAAAAGCCCTTGGGTCAAAATTGGCCCGGCCCCAGGGGGTCATTGATTTTCCCTATATGCATATAGTAAAAGCTTAAAAAATCTTCTTTTAAAGAACCCAAAGAGCTAGAGCTAAGATATTTAGCATGAACCATCTCCTAGTGAGTGTCTACCAAGTTTGTTAAAAAAAAGCCCTGGGGTCAAAATTGGCCCCGCCCAAGGGGGTCATTGGTTTTAACTATATGTGTATAGTAAAAACTTAAAAAATCTTCTTTTAAAATAACCCAATGAGCTAGAGATTAGATGTTTAGAATGAAACATCTTCTAATGGGTGTCTACCAAGCTTGTTCAAATAAAAGCCCTTGGGTTAAAATTGGCCCTGCCAGGGGGGGGGGGGGCGGAGGGGGGGGGGTAGATTGTTGTTTTTCATTATATGTGTGTAGTAAAAACTTAACATTGTGAAACATCTTCTAATGGGTATCTTCCAAGTTTGTTCAAATAAAAGCCCTGGGGTTTAAACTGGCCCCGCTCCGGGTGCCTTATACAGGTGAGCGACCTCAGGGCCATCATGGCCCTCTTGTTATTATTTTAAATGCTTTTGGGACTGTTTAATAAAATAATTATCCCCCGCCGATGGAATTGGGAGGGGGATATAGTTTTGGCGTTATCTGTCCGTCCGAATTTCGTTTCCGGAGTAGTTCTCTGCAACTACTGGCAGGAATTCAACGAAACTTTATGGGAATCATCAATATCAAGAGGAGATGCGCATATCGTTGGCTTGTTCCGGTCCGACCCTTTAACTCAGAGTTATGGCCCTTGATTAGTTATATAGTATGCATATAGAGTAAAAATCGTTTCCGGAGTAGTTCTCTGCAACTACTGACTGGAATTTGACGACACTTTATGGGAATCATCAATATCAAGAGGAGATGCGCATATCGTCGGCTTGTTCCGGTCAGACACTTTAACTCAGAGTTATGGCCCTTGATTAGTTATGTAGTATGCATATAGAGTAAAAATCGTTTCCGCACTACTTCTCTGCAACTACTGGCTGGAATTCAACGAAACTTTATGGGAATCATCAATACCAAGAGGAGATGCGCATATCGTCGGCTTGTTCCGGTCAGACAATTTAACTCAGAGTTATGGCCCTTGATTAGTTATGTAGTATGCATATAGAGTAAAAATCGTTTCCGCGCTACTTCTCTGCAACTACTGGCTGGAATTCAACAAAACTTTATGGGAACCTTCAATACCAAGAGGAGATGTGCATATCGACGGCTTGTTCCGGTCAGACACTTTAACTCAGAGTTATGGCCCTTGATTAGTTATGCAGTATCCATATAGAAAAATATTTGTTTCCTCGCTACTTCTCAGCTACTAATGGCTGGAATTCAATAAAACTTTATGAGATAGTACAAAGAGGAGATGTGCATATTGTCGCCTTGTTTCAGTCAGATACTTATAACTCAGATTTATGGCCCTTGATTAGTTATGTAGTATGCATACATCTCATTGGCATTTCCAGATTTTACTATTTAACACAAAGTTATGGCTCTGTTATTGCCCTGAATATTTATCAAGTTCAAAGAATATTACTGTTTATGCCATGATTAATATATAAATAAAGCCTTATGTCTTCAGTTGTTGTGTTAGTAATAACCAGTACTCGGCGGGGGATATAAATTCAACGAATTTGCTTGTTTTTATTGATAATTGTTATATGTTCGATTAAAGGCATATTGTTAATGAAAATGAAATCAGTTCACCCCTTTATGTGTATTGATTGTAAGATGGCTGCCGTTACACTATCACGTGATTATCCCAAGCACCACCAAAACTTAGCGCGGGAATTATAAATATAGCTAACCTGGGCACGTAGTATAGGATACGAAATACTTTTTTATCAATATTTAGAAACAGTATCTCATCGGGGTTTCATTGGATCAATTGATAACAAATTATAATGTTTTTGTAAAAAATTAATCATTTCCCAAATCTGTGCACAATTTTGATATATTTTGTTCAGTGGAAGATGTGTAATTTGTGTTTTTGTTTTAGAGCTGTAAATTGATTGTGCATGGTTCTTTGTTTATATTTTGATTTCCTTGAAATAATTTTTCTCATCTGAAGGCAGGCAACTTTAATAGATCTATTATGATTACATTTATTACATTTCATGTAAATGTTTAAAAATATAAATTATCTGATGACATGTTTGTTCATTTTACATTACACCTTTCATGCAGCAAACATTAAAAGTCTTCACAGAAGTTAGTATGCAATCATACTTATATTACATACGAATGTATGTTATATTTTTCTTGTTATTTTAGAAGCTGAAACGTTTTGTGCTTGATTGCTTGAAAGAAGCTGAAAGTTGTAATTGTAGCTCAATAGCATTCCCTGCTCTGGGAACAGGCAATTTAAATTACCCACTATATGAAGTCAAAGCAGCTATGTTTGATGCTGTTGAAGAGTTTAACATGTCGTGCACAGGTGGAACAAGTCTTCAAGATGTTAAGTTTGTCCTGTTTGAATACGAAGCATTTCAGGTATTACATTTGTACTTTTACTAAATTTTTACTGTTTATATAGACCAGTGTCAAAAATTCAATACCTTGCTTCTTATGCTTTTGTGTAAATATCATCTCACCATTTTAAGAAAGACCATATTTATAAAAAAAACACCTATACCTTGAATGCTAAGAAATATGTATCTGTCCCCTGCAACTTGTCATTGTAAGGTAGATAATTAAAGTTAAGGTTCTCGTGTAACTAGAATACATGTAGTTTCAATATTGTTTCTGGTAAATGTGCATGTATTTATGAGGCATACTTTTTATTTTAGGATTTCAAAGCAGAGCAAAATAAGAGAGGTATGTAAGATTATTACACAAAAGATAGGTCTCTTATTCCTTTCAGCAAATGTCAATCGATCTGTCCATGCTAAGTTAACCTAAATTGGCAAGTTGGATTCTAGCTCACCTGTCACAAAGTGACAAGGTGAGCTTTTGTGACACCCTGTTGTCTGTCATCTGCATGTTAACATTTATTCAAAATGACTTGTCCTCCAAGACCGCTTGGCCAAATTTAATGAAACTTGGCAGGTATATTCCTTGCATGAAACTCTATCTAGGTTTGAAAGAATTAATTTCCTTGAACAACTCTTATTACCATGGCAACAAAATAGTTTTTTTTAACAAAATCTTAAGAAATCTTCTAAAGCCTTGATATTTAGTATGTAACATGATCTAGTGGTCCTACAAATATTGTTCAAATTATGACCCTATGGTCAGAAGGGGCTGTGCCAGGGGGCACCTCAGTTATATATAAAGTTTTATAGGGAAATCTTAAAAAAAATTTTCTTGTCAAATCCACAAAGCCTAGAGCCTTGATATTTGGTATATAACATGATCTAGTGGCTCTCTACTAAGATTGTTCAAATAATGCCCCTAGGATGAAAAGGGGCCTACCAGGGGGCTTATCAATTTTTATAAAAAAAAAATCTTTAAAATCTTCTTGTAAAAATCCACAAGCCCTTAGAGCCTTGAAAATTAGTATGTCACATGATATAGTGGTCCTCTATAAAGTTTGTTCAGATTTTGCCTAGAGTCAAAAGGGTCCTGCCAGAGGGTTTATTGGTTTCATATAAAGTTTTTAAGAAAAAGCTTAAAATCTGCTTGTCAAAATGTACAATGCCTACAGTCTTGATATGTTGTATGTAGCTTCATGTAGTGGTCCTTTCAAAAAATTGTTCAAATTCTGCCCCTAGGGTTAATAGCAGCCCCTCCAGGGAGACATCAATTTTACTTTGAGTTATGTAGGCCTAGAGCTCTGATATTTGGTATATAACATCATCTAGTGACCCTTTGTGAAGATTGTTCAAATTATTCCCCTGGGATTAAAAGGGTTCAACCAGTGGCCTTACTAGTTTTTTAGAGTTATTTATAAAAATCTTAAAAAGTCTTCTTCTTGAAAATCACAAGACCTATTGCTTTGATATTTGGTATGTTTGGTCATCTAGTTGTCCTCTAAAATTAGATATACACACATTTAAACAACATCTTAACCACTGGTTCAATTTTGAAAAATTTCCTTTGTGACAGTGTACAATTGTAAAATTGTTTAGATTAAGCAGTCCTTTTTTCAAATCATGCTTCTGGGTTGACAGGGGCTCCACTGTGACCTTTTGACCAGTTCTAAAGTGAAGGATCCAGAGCCCTCTGTGGGTTCGAATCCCGACAGGGACTTTGGATTCTTTCATGTGAGGAAGCTATCCAGCTAGCTTACGGAACGTCGGTGGTTCTACTCAGGTGCCCGTTCATGTCTGAAATAATGCACGGAAGGGCACCTGAGGTCTTCCTCCACTAGTAAAGCTGGAACGTCGCGATATGACCTATACTGTGTCGATGTGACGTAAAACCCAGAACAAAACAAAAACAAAAAACAGAGCCCTCTGGGACCTCCTATTAAGTTCTACCTGTACAAGTGATTTCATAATTTTGTCTTTCTTAATTTTTTAGAGACATATTGTCAAGTTAGTGCGGTTATATGTTAAATCCTGTTAAATTATATGAAGAGATAACCTTTTCCTTTGCAAGGTGACAACATTGTTTTTGCCTTCGTTGTCCGGCTTTCAAAGGTGAAACTGCTGGTGGGATATCAATGAAATTCTCATCAGTACCATTGCTTGTTATGCATATCACCAGAAAATTCTGCCTCGCTGAATAAAATGGCCACCAAAGCTAAAAGTAGAAAAATTGTTGCCGATTTTCACAGGTCAAACTGCTGGCAGGAGTGATCATACTACATCCTTAGTTCTGTAGAAAGTGATCATGTTTACTGCAGCACAAAAGTGGGAGAAGAGCTATAAATAGAAGTCTTGTCTAAACTTCACAGGGCAAACTGCTCATGGGATTTTGACATTACTTCACAAGAGTGATCAGTACCATGCTTATTAGTGCATATCGCAGGCACTTTCTGCTTTGTTGCAAGAGCTTTTAATAAAAAATAACGTTGTCGGGCTTTTACAGATCAAACAAAATCTTGTCCAGAGTTTAGGAGTGATCTGTGTCAAATCTTCTTGTGCATTTTTTTGCATGTTCTCATTCACTGCACAAAATGGCCATCAGAGCTACAAATAGAAAAAAACATTGTCTTACCTTTACCAGTGACTTCATAACAACAATTGACTTTTTATAACAAACTTTATTATATGATCTAAATATAGCTGCAATCTCATTGGTCCAAACAGTAGTCAGCAGAACTTTTTATAAAATCATATTCACTGGGTGTAGTGTGATATTCACTGGCTGAATATTGGATTTTCCCAGTCTAAAAATAGATTGAGACACATATTCAATGATCATACACGGTAGACTGTTAATTACTCGTGTTAATTAAAAATAAGTGTTGCTTTTTGTTCTTTATGGCATATTTCTCAATTAAAATATCATTACTTAACTATTATACGTAAAGTCTACACCGCAATGTTGAGTATAAACTTGAATTATTTTTTGTATATGTGTGTCTTTTTTTCGCGCTTTGAACAACAGGGCAAAATTTGAATATGTATTTTTGTGATTTTTTTTATTTCTTAGCCTATTCATATAACAAAACAAATTTTATTGACTAGTGAGTCATTGAATATGATGTGATATTCACCGGCAGAAAGTCATATTGACCTTGGCTATTGCCTCAGTCAGTATGTCAACTGCCGGTGAATATCACATCACATTCAATGGCTCAATAGTCAATAATTGTATAGTAAATTTTTATAGCAACCAGCAAATATTAAATTTCTATAGCATTGAGATATTCTCTTACCATTTAATTTCATAGCAAGCGCTGACTTCCAATGGAACCATTTATTCTGTGTAGCAAAAAGTGACATCTTATGGACCTATTGTTTTCCCTTTAGCAATAGCAACCAGTAACATTTCTTCATGTACACTATTTCAGATACAAATATGAACTTTTTGTGTCACCTGTATGGAGTAGTGGCGACATATAGGGATCACTTCTCCGTCGTCTGTCTGTCCATCCGTCTGTCCGTCACAAAACTTGTCCGGACTACTCCTCATAAACTACTGGTGCTATTTCATCCAAACTTTACAGGAATGATCAGAACCAAGTCTAGTTGTGCATATTGTCAGAATTTTCCGGTTCAATGATTTTTGTCAGAGTTATGGCCCTTTAATAATTTTTATTTTTAAAGTTTGTCTGGACTTCTTCTCTTATACCACTTTATGCAATTTCAATGAAACTTTACAGGATTGATCTGTAGCTCAAGTCCTTGTGCATATTGCAAGGGTTTTCAGGTTGAACGATTTTTGGCCAAGTTATGACCCTTTGATAAAAAAGGTGTTTTTTTCTGTGTGTTGCCAGATACACAAAAGCTTGTCCGAACTACTCCTCATAAACTACTGGTGCAATTTCATCCAAACTTTACAGGAATGATCAGTACCAAGTCTAGTTGTGCATATTGTCAGCATTTTCCGGTTCAATGATTTTTGTCTAATGGCCCTTAAATAATTTTTATTTTTAAAGTTTGTCCGGTCGGACTACTTCTCTTACACTACTAATGCAATTTCAATGAAACTTTACAGGATTGATCTGTAGCTCAAGTCCTTGCGCATATTGCACGGGTTTTCTGGTTGAATGATTTTTGGCCGAGTTATGGCCCTTTGATAAAAAGGTGTTTTTTTCTGTGTGTTGCCAGATACACAAAAGCTTGTCCGGACTACTCCTCATAAACTACTGGTGCAATTTTATCCAAACTTTCAGGAATGATCAGTACCAAGTTTAGTTGTGCACTGTCTGTCCGTCTGTCACAAAACTTGTCCAAACATGAAATTGGCTATCATGAGGCGACACATGTGATCACTGATTGCTCTTGTTGATAACAGTTTAAGAATTATATCTGTATTCGCTTATAATACAAGTTTACTTGTTGTACAATATGTATATTCAGGTGAGCAGTATAAAGGCCATTATAATTATATGGCCCTCTTTTTCTTTATTGGACAAAAAAACTGACTAGAAAAGATTTATTCAAATGTGACCTTGGTCTGAGGTCAAGGTCACAGTAAGGGGTTGAGCATTTTGTTATACAGTTCTTTAGTGCACCTGCCCTAACTTCTACATGCATGATGGAATTTTAAAAAAGATTTGTACTTTTGATCAAGATAAGTAGGCAATTTGTAAGGTTTGAATGGAATATGTTTATCAGAATTTGATTTATCTTTGTTCTGCTATACAGGCATTTGGAAAATATGCTTTTGACTTCATTGACAATTGTTTGCTTGTATTCAAGCTGTTAAAATCTAACAAAATTTTCAGATTCAAAGCAGCCATGTGCCCCTAGTTGTCATACTTATGGAAACATAACATTTAAAGCTGTAAATGGCACAATCAGAGATATTAAACAAGACTGTATTTTATATCTCTGGGAAAGCACAGCATTTTACAATGGTATGTAGTATATTAAGCCTTAACTCATATTAGCTTGAACATTTCTTAAACTTATAGTTATTTTACATATGGAATGATGTAGCTATACATGTATTTATAAGTATATCAGAAATTTTTACCAACCCATTGTTTTGATTATTAAGTGCTCTAGAGCCATAGTCGAGAGATAGTTTCTTACCACTATGGCATCAAATTTAAGTTGTTGTATAAGGATGACAAGTTAAATTCCTTACAAAAGTCTGTACTTTATTTGCATGAATGGCAAAATATGTCCTTGTAATGAAAATCAAAGAATATGACTGTAAAACTGCATGCTTTAAACTTACATGTATACATGCTCATAGGGTTTGGCTTCATTGATATCTTACAAGAAAAAACTAAACAGAAATTTTTAGGAGCAAACATAATATCTCCAATTTGTAGAATCAGATAAGGATATTAATTATTGGAAATAAAACTCATACTTCTTACAAAATATGGTGAATGTACTGCTTTAATTATGCTGTATTTATTTCATTTCATTTCGTTAACTGCTTTTCTTTGACAGCCAAAAAAAGGCCAGATCAGCATGTTCTTTTGAAAGAAATTGATGAGTATGATAGACGGCAATTGTTTGAAAAAGGTTATTTTTATTTATTTTCATCTCATATTTTGTCAAATTTTTCTACTTTAAATGAATTTAAATGAACATTAAAGAATATGATACCTTTAAGCTCAGAATAAATTGATCAATTTCATTTCATTTTTACTTTTCTGTTTATATTTATATGTAATATATATTTTACATGTAATATATATTATGTAGCTTATAATAAATTGATCAATTTCATTTCATTTTTACTAATCTGTATATTATTTTAAAGCTAATATAATCAAATATATTATACAGTCAAATTTGCCCATGTAACCATGTATCAACCAACATTTGTCTTCATAGACCACTATAACATTCCCTGATCATTTCCCAATTTATCTCTATTTTGTTACAGGGAGCAGAAGGTTTGTTCAATACGGTGGCTATTTAGACTGTTAACTATTGATCGTTTCATCCAGTTAGCAAAAAAATTTACAAAGCTTTTACAAGTTGCGATGTTGTCTTACTTTCAGTGTTCCCTCAAGGAAGATTTACCAATACAATAGTCCATACTTTTGAATGCAGAAAGCTTGATTACAAAGATGTAATACATGCTCCTTATGAAGAAAACCCAAGTGGAAAACAGAAGGCTGTGGCTAATTTGCTCAAGTTTGCTATTACCTTGAAGAAAAAATCTGTTGGTCTCTATTTTGATGATGCCAGTAAGACCTCTTTATAGCATATTGTAATAAATTATAGTCTACTCCATTTATAAGGAGATCAGTTTTAACAAGGTACCGCTTACAACTTACATTCTACTGTGTCCCGGCCTTTTTCATTCTATTTTCCTTTCATTTTTATATGCCCGAAAGAAATTCGGGCATATTATGTTATACCCCCTGGTGTCCGTCTGTCCGTCCATCCGTCCGTTCGTCTGTTAGCAATTTGGTTTCCGGAGCATAACTTGAGTTCCATTTGGCCCGCAGTATTCAAACTTCATAGGATGATTGCCCATATTGGGTAGAAGACCCCTATTGATTTTGGGGTCACAAGGTCAAATGTCAAGGTCACTATAAGCTAAATACTGAAAAAGGTTTCCGGAGTATAACTTGAGTTCCATTTGGCCCACAGTATTCAAACTTCATAGGATGATTGCCCATATTGGGTAGAAGACCCCTATTGATTTTGGGGTCACAAGGTCAAAGGTCAAGGTCACTATTAGCATAATACTGAAAATGGTTTCCGGAGCATAACTTAAGTTCCATTTGGCCCACAGTATTCAAACTTCATAGGATGATTGCCCATATTGGGTAGAAGACCCCTATTGATTTTGGGGTCACAAGGTCAAAGGTCAAGGTCACTATTAGCTAAATACTGAAAATGGTTTCCGGAGCATAACTTAAGTTCCATTTGGCCCACAGTATTCAAACTTCATAGGATGATTGCCCATATTGGGTAGACGACCCCTATTGATTTTGGGGTCACAAGGTCAAAGGTCAAGGTCACTATTAGCAAAATACTGAAAATGGTTTCCGGAGCATAACTTAAGTTTCATTTGGCCCACAGTATTCAAACTATTTTGGGGTCACAAGGTCAAAGGTGTCCATATTAAGTAGAAGACACCTATTGATTTACGGGTCATAAGGTCAAAGGTCAAGGTCAATATTAGCTTAGTACTGGAATGGTTTCTGAAGCATTACTTAAGTTCCATTTGGCCCACAGTATTCAAACTTCATAGGATGATTGTCCATATTGGGTAGAAGACCCCTATTGATTTTGGGGTCACAAGGTCAAAGGTCAAGGTCACTTTAAAATTTTATAGGATTAACAGCTTTATACCCCTGACGTCTTGGTGTCCATCCATTGTAGCATTTTTATGCTCCCCGAAAAATTTCGGGGGAGCATATAGTCGGCGCCTTGTCCGTCTGTCCGTCCGTTGTCTTGTCCGGAGCATAACTTGAAAACCCTTGGAGATAATTTGTTGAAACTTCATACAGTGGTAGAGGGCATCGAGGGGGAGTGCAGTGTCAAAGAACCATAACTCTATTTTGCCCGGTTTTTGAATTATCTCCCCTTATAGAAAAATCTTGTCCGGGGCATAACTCTAAAACTATAAGAGATATCAACATGAAACTTTGTAGGTGAATAGATCTCAATGGGTAGATGTGCAGTGCATAAGAACAATAACTCTTTTTATCCTAATTTTGGAGTTATTGCCCTTTGTTAATTTTAATACTTTGAACTTTGTCCGGAACATAACTTGAAAACCCTTGGAGATAATTTGTTGAAACTTCATACAGTGGTAGAGGGCATCGAGGGGGAGTGCAGTGTCAAAGAACCATAACTCTATTTTGCCCGGTTTTTGAATTATCTCCCCTTATAGAAAAATCTTGTCCGGGGCATAACTCTAAAACTATAAGAGATATCAACATGAAACTTAGTAGGTGAATAGATCTCAATGCGTAGATGTGCACTGCATAAGAACAATAACTCTTTTTGTCCTAATTTTGGAGTTATTGCCCTTTGTTTATTTTAATACTTTGAACTTGAACTTTGTCCGGAACATAACTTGATAACCCTTGGAGATAATTTGTTGAAACTTCATACAGTGGTAGAGGGCATTGAGGGGGAGTGCAGTGTCAAAGAACCATAACTCTATTTTGCCTGTTTTTTTAATTATCTCCCCTTATAGAAAAATCTTGTCTGGGGCATAACTCTAAAACTATAAGAGATATCAACATGAAACATTGTAGGTATACATATCTCATTGAGTAGAGGTGCAGTGCAAAAGAACCATAACTCTGTTAAGCCTTATTTTTGAATAATCTCCCCTTTTAGAAAAATCTTGTCCAGGACATAGCTGTAAAACTATAAGAGATATCAACATGAAACTTTGTAGGTAGATAAATCTCAATGGGTAGATGTGCAGTGCACAAGAATCATAACTCTACCTTGCCTAATTCTGGAGTTATTGCCCTTTGTTTATTTTTACTTTTTGAATTATCCAGGACATAACTCGGAAATCATAAGAGATATCATCAAGAAACTTTGTAGGTTGATAGATCACATTGATTAGAAGTGCAGTGCAAAGAACTGTAACTCTGCCTTGCCTTATTTTGGAATTATTGCACTTTGAACTTTTTCCACGAACATAACTCTGAAACTACAAGAGGTGTACTTTCCTGTGTCCAAAACCTATTCGGGGAGCATCACCCGGCTCAAACCGGGCTCTTGTTACTTACAAGATAACAACTTGATGGTGGTGCTTTGAAAACAGGAACTGTATATATACATGAATGTATTTCAGCTATAAAGGAGGATTGCTTTTTAAAGGAGGTAATACTGTATTTAATTCCCATGTCTTCCTCCGTAAAAGAAAAAGTACTTTCTGGCATATAATGCTCCGCCTAGCGGTGCTCTTGTTAGTTCAACTATTCCATAAGAATAAGTAGAGCTATTGTAGTTACCCAAGCGTCGACATAACCACTTATGTTAAAGTTTTTGTAATACCTCAAATATTTTCAAAGTCCAGTGACGTCTGGCTTTGAAACTTTGCACTCTTGTTCACAATCATGACCCCCAACGTGTAGACTGGAGGAGATAACTGTATCAAGCATTTTGACAGAATTATGCCCCTTTTTCGACTTATAATTGACATTAAAGTTTCTGTAATACCTCAAATATTTTCAAAGTCCATTGACATATGGCTTTGAAACTTTGTTCACCATCATGACCCCAACCTGTAGACAGGAGAAGGTAACTGTACTATCAAGCATTTGGCAGAATAATGTCCCTTTTTCCACTTAGAATTTGCATTTAAGTTTGCATACCTCTCAGATATTTTCACATTCTATTGACATCTGGCTTTGAAACAAGTTGAAATTGTATACTCTTCTTTAAGAGCATAATGGGACTCTTCAATGCCTATAACTGTAACATGGATTTAAAGATAAAATTTGCCCTTTTGTTAACATGGAAAATATATTTTACATTACCAAGGCTTTTTTTACTATCAAACACTAAGAATAGTCGAGCGTGGCTATCCTACCGACAGCTCTTGTTTATCGTTTATAAGAGATCGGTTTTAACGAGATACTGGTTACAATGTTCATAATTTCGCCGTCCCATGCGTATTTTTCAGAATTTTATCGAGGTCACTTCATTTGCATTTCATCTGCATAAGTTTGTCACCTTTAGAAAAACAATGATGACCAATAATAAAGGTCAATTAAGAAAGAAATTATTGACGTGGGATGAGATAATGTGTCAAGTAATTAGCGATCAAATGTATCAGCCTTGTTTTGTCAGCGCTCCGGGCTTAATTGTCCTTAAGGTGACGAAAGGTCATAACAAAACAATTCCATTGAGTGATAATCACAAAGGAAGCGGCTAATTTCTTGCGGCGTTATTCGGTGTTCGTGAGAAATGCACTGCCTGACTTTTTGAAACGAATTATAAAACATACATATTAATGAAAAAACACACGCGGCAGTAGACGTAGGTTGTGTTTATATTATGTGAAAATTCTATGATAGCTAGACATATTTATATACAGTGTAACTTCTGAAATCCGGAAACTTCTAAAAACCGAACAATTTTTTCGGTCCCGATTTTTTCCCTTCTATTTTCTATTAATAGAATACTTCTGAATTCCGGAACTTCTAAATTCTGAATTCCGGATGATATTTTCGTAAAATTAGAGTCAAATCAATGCAATTTTACCTCCAAAAACCAGAAATATCCAAAGGTGTGAAATACATTGTAAATCGAGAATGTTTACCCTGCAGAAAGATTTAATCTCCCTATCGATTGTTTACTAATTAGCGGTGATCGTGTAAGTTGACACGCGTTAAAATCACAAACTGTGAAATGGTATGTTTGAAGTGATGCGGTTAATCATAGTAATTTACGGTGGTCAGTCAATTTGAAGTGTTTATTACCAGAGTAAATGACAATTAATTGGACAATGTATGCATCAAATGTCTTAGGGATTTTATTGCATTCGATGTAATAATTAATTAACTAGAATCGGACAATATGTAAGTTTATGCAATTATCAACATTTCTACAAACTGATTAAAATCCAAAAGCATTTGCAGGTAAGATAAAAATGTATTCTTTTCATTCACATCTTTATCTTGATTAATAGACTATTATATATGATATAACATATGATATAGTAATGGCCACATCTTCCTTGACATTTAGTGATATTAAGTGGCTTAGTCATGTCCATATTATCATAAACCTCTGAATTCCGGAAACCTCTGAAATCCGAACTTTTTGACAAGTCCCATGGGTGTTCGGTTTTCGGAAGTTACACTGTACATGTATATTTAAATAAAACAAAAACTTCTGATTGCAAAGATTACCTCCGTTTATATACTCTTCAAAAAGGTCATGCACGTGAAAGTAGAAATAAATGATGCCTGACGGTGTTGGATTTCTCAATTTGTTCTGTCCCGGTTATAACGATACCCGGTTATAATGAGGACTCATCCGAAGTCCCGACGATCACGTATCTGGAATGCACTGAATGCTGAAGAGTAATTATGTCTCCCAAATTTTTTTGGAAACATTGTTTTCAACTTCTGTTTGTCCGCACTACCGAAAAGGGATAGCGGGCCAGCTAACTGTAAACAGAACAAAAGAGAACAGTATAATTCATTATGTAACAATAGAGTAAGGGGTCATGGTCCTCTATTAAACAAAAGAAAATAACAATAGAAATGACCCTTTATCCTATTTGGTCTGATGTCCGTCTGTTCCTTTGTCTGTCAGCATTAAGCTAAATGTCCAGCCTTCACAGATCAAACTACATGTAGTTGTGGAATTACAACCAAACTGTACATGAGTAATCAGTACCATCCCTAGTTGTGCACATCTCACACAGGTTCCACTTCACTGCACAAAACTCTAACCAGAGCTAAAAATCTTGTCCACTGCCTTCACTGGTCAAATTACTTGTGGGATTTCAATCAAATTTTACAGGAGTGATCTGTACCATCACTAGTTGTGCACAACACTGGCACGTTTGGCTTTGCTGCACAAAATGGCCATCAAAGCTAAAAGTAGAAAACAATTCTTGTCCAGCCTTCACAGGTCAAACTTCTTGTGGGATTTCAACCAACTTTACAAGAGTGATCAGAACAATCCCTAGTTGTGCATATCACAGGCAGTGTCCGCTTCACTTCACAAAATGGCCACCAGAGCTAAAAATAGAGAAATCTTGTCCGGCCTTCACAGGTCAAATGACTTGTGAGATTTCAATCAAATTTTACTGGAGTGATCAGTACCATCTTTAGTTGTGCACAACACCAGCATGTTCTGCTTCACTGCACAAAATGCTGGCCAGAGCTAAAAATATTAAAATCTTGTCTAGCCTTCACAGGTCAGACTACAAGTGGAATTTCAACCAAACTTCACGGGTATGATCTGTATCATCCCTAGTTATGCACGTCACAGTTATGTTCCAATTTGCTGCACAAAATGGCCACCAGAGCTAAAAATTGAAAAAATATTGTCTGTCTTCAGAGGTCAAACTACTGGTGGGATTTAACCAAACTTTACAGGAGTGATCAATACCATCAATAGGTTTGCACATCACTGGCCAGTCAGAATGGCCGACACAGCTTAATATAGAAAAATCTTGTCCGGGCTTCACTGGTCAAACTTCTGTTTAGATTTCAACTAAACTTTACTGGAGTGATAAGTACTACATTTTTGTATTATCCTAGTTGTGCATATTGCCAGCAGGTTCCACTTTGATGCACAAAATGGCAGCCAGAGCTATTAATAGAAAAAT